GCAGGAATGGTGAAGACAGATTTTTCGAAGGATACAGTAACTGAGCTGAAGCTTGAGGGAGGCTTAGGCATGTGCCCTTCCAGCCAGACAAAAGAGCATGTGCAAAGGCATGCACATGAGGACCGTGATGGCATGTTTAGGAAATTCCAGGGATTCAATTTGACTGATGCAAGGGAAGGATTTTTGATTGCAAGGCAATGGGCCTGAAGAATCAGGCAGAATCCCATGGAGGGTCTCGTGTGCCAAGTCATGGTGGTTGGACTTTATATAGTACATAGGGCAAACCGAAAGATTTTAATCAGGAAAACAGTAGGATTTTGTTGTTGTTGTTGATATTGTTTTTAAAAGATCACACTCTGTTGGCTGACTGTTTGGAAGAAATGTGTCCAGATACAGGAAGACCAGTTAGGAGGTGGTAGCAATAAAAAAATGATGAGAAAAACTGAGCTAAGACAGTGCCATGAAAGAAAGGGACCGATTTGGAGGGGACATTATAAGTGTGAGATTGAAAGGACTTGGTGACTGATTTGATCTGGGGAACATAGAAAAAAAGGGAGTTCTCCTGCAGAATTTTATGGGTACATTTCTCAATTGTAATTATGATGTATATACTGGTTTGTATTTCTCTTTTTTCACTTATTACATCATGTTTTTTGTATTACTGCAAAAAACAAAAGCATTATTTTAATGGTATAAAGTGATCCATTGAGTGGTTAGACCATTTGCTACTGTTTTCTCTATTGTTAAACATCTCTATTGTTTATTTTTGATACTTTTTATGAAATCACAATAAACATTTAGGTATACTTTATATTTTTCTTTTGAATCTTTTCCTTGGGATTAGTTTCTACAAATGGTATTACCGAGTCAAAGACTATTTGTCTTTTTTAATAGACAAATTCATTTTATTGTGGATTCAGACCACACAGAAGTATACAAAGCAGATGTAATACCCTCCTACCTCCCCTGCAGAGTCCACAGTTTGGTGGGCATCCTCTTTGTCCCTCTTTGTACTCATTTAAAATTGCAACGGATACAGTCTACAGCCATGCTACCCATGCTATCCTGAACAAGCCCAATCCCGTCTGATCTCGGAAGCTAAGCAGGGTCGGGCCTGGTTAGTACTTGGATGGGAAACCACCTAGGAAGACCAGGTGCTGTAGGAGTAAAAAATAAAAAAAATTTAAAAAATGAGAGATTGTAAGCTGACAAGGTCCTTGCAATCTGTGAGGTCAACCAAGGGTCACCTCACCTAAAAAATTAAAATAAAATAAAATTGCAATGGATGCAGCCAGATTGTCTTCTAAAAAGTGATACCACATCTTCAACAACTCTTGTTATTATAATTCTTTTTAATTTTAACCAATTTAATGGGCAGAGGAATTACTTGATTGTTAAATTTACTTTCTCCTGATTGCTAGTGAGGTTAAGCCTCTTATAAGTTTATTGGCCATTTTCATGTCTTCTCTGAATTTCCTGTTTATAGTCTTTGCTTATTTTTGTTAAATTATTTGTCTTTAGCTTCTTAATTTTTAGAAGATGTTTATACACTCTGGATAGTAAACCTTTTTGCCAATTAAATCTATTATAGGTATTTTCAACCAATCTGTTACTTGTTTTTTAAACTTATTTTTCATTGTATAGAAGTCTTTAATTTGTTATAAAGTTAAGTTTATTGCTTATGTTCTTTACTCAGACTCTTAGATTTTGTGTATTTTTTAGTAAGGTCTTCCCTACTTTAAAATTAGAAATATTATTCTGTATTTTCTTTTAATACCCGCTTAGATTTTTGTTTTGTTTTGTTTTAGTTTGTTTGTATAGGCCTTTAATACATCTGGACTTTATTTTATAGTACGAGATAAGAGTCTTTTTTTCTCAAACGGAAATTGTTCCAAGGCCCTTAACTGAATAGTCCAACCTTTTCTCCCTAATTTAAAATAGGGTGTGAACCTTTTAATGGATTTTGGTACCTAGTGGAAAACTGCTTTCTTAAAAAAGGACGAGCTAGTTTATACAAACTGCATCAGCAATGTGTACCTACCCCAGTTTCACTGTAACTTTATGAGTAATGGTGTGTTTGTTTTATTGATTATAAGCTAATTCTAATTAATTTTTGGTTATATTGGTATGCAGTTATTTTTATTTCTCAATGATGTAAATGACGGTATATAGAGTACTTTATTAACTAAAAGTCTGAAAATAGATGGCTCTCACCCAATTCTTCATTTTCTTCCATCTCCTCTCCCGTGCCTCTCATAGGGCCTTCTGCAGGAGAGCTGGTCCTCATTACAGCCAGGGTGACTACAGAAAGGACCCCAGGAACCTGCCTGTACTTCAGTGCTGCTCCAGGACTCCTGCCCTCCAGCCAGCCACCCATATCCTGCTCAGAGGAGGGAGCAGGAAATGCCACCCTGAGCCCTAGGATGGCTGAGGAGTGTGTCAAGGTCTGGAGCCAGGAAGGCCTTGCACTCACCAAACTGCTCACTTCGGTAAGAGCCTCAGGTTGTCAGGGTTTCATAGACTGCCATACTCATGCTATGTCTCGAAAGCAATTTTACCTAGTAGATAAAACACAGGCTTTATAATCCTGACTGAGAGGATATGTAACCTTGAATAAACAACTGAGTCTCTGAGCCTGTTTCCTCACCTATAAAATGGAAAACAAGATACTACGTCCTAATTCCAAAGAATAAAAGAACGAATATAAAGTGCCTAGTGCAATGCCTAGTACATAATAGATATTTGATAAATGACAGCTATTACTACTAACTATTGTCTTTAAAGCATGATCTCTACCTCAAATACAGAAGCTGGACTAAGGCAGAATAGGTTAATTTCTATCATAGAGATGTGAGCAAAGTGTTATTCAAGCACAGAGTAAGGAGCAGTTAACTTGAACATTTATGGAGAGTGTTTCACAGAAAGGGTGGCATTTAAGAAGGAGAATTGTATACTGTGGTTTATAACGTGCAAAGTGCTTCAGATTCATTATCTCATTTGATCTTAAAATAACTATTTGAAGTAGCTGTTATTATCCCATTTTATAGATGAGGAAACAGGTTTAGAAAGAGGGATTGTATTGCCCAAGGCCACACAAGTGGTTAAGTGGCAGACCCATGATTTCAACCTAGGCTTTTTCACTCTGAGTCCCAGACTTGTTCTGTCCTGTCAGTGTGATCCTGAAAAATAAGGAAGATTTGGGCAGAGAATACAATAGAGTAGGTTTAAGAAAGAGGAAATTCGTTCCAAGCATAGTGACCAACATGAGCACAGGCCTAGAGATTGAAAAGTGTTCAGCCTTTGGGGACACTCCATGATGAAGGGCTCAGGAATGGCTTAGGGGAGGGGGCAGGAGAGATGCAGGGGCCTGATCGTGAGGCACTGCGATGCCAGGCTAAGATGGTACGACTTGACACTGCAGGCCATGGGGGCCACTCTGCTGAGTGGAAGAGACTGGCTGAGTGGAGGAGAGAGTCCACTTAGGAGGCCGCTGCATACTCTTCCCTCACATTTGCAAAGACCTTGTGAGGAGCATCACCTGGAAGCTTGGAATCAGAGAAGAGCTTGTTTTCCAGACCTCACCCAGCTTGCACATCTTTCAAATGTAGATAAGAGTAAACTCTCATAGGGGTTATTATTTGGGGGTTCAGTCTGATGGTTGGTCAAGAAAGCAGTTTGTAGATCATTGAGACCATTAGCTTGTATAGAGATAACATTTCCCCATTGGTTGCTCCCCAGATGTGGAGAGCCCTCTCTCCAATGGAGGCTTCTCTCTATAGCCTTGGGCTAGGGGTAAGATGTCTTCCTGAGGGAAGAGTCTGCACCCTCCCCTGTCTCATTAATTTCTCCTTCCCTTCCTGTGCCCACCCTAGGAGGAGCTGGCTCTGTGTGGCTCCAGGCTGCTGGTTTTGGGCTCCTTCCTGCTTCTCTTCTGTGGCCTTCTCTGCTTTCTCACTGCTTTGTGCTTCCACCCGCGCCGGGAGTCCTACTGGTCTAGAACTCGGCTCTGAGGACACTGGCCTAGTTCCTGTCTTGTTCTCAGGTAAGGTTCTTTGCCCCAGTCCTGTAGGAGTAGGGGATGGGGTAGGGGTAGCAATTGTAACTGAGACAGAGTCATTCCTAAACAACATGGTTTGGTTTTACTTGTTTTTAAATTTTATTTGGATGGAATCTACATATTCTTTTGTGACTGACTTCTTTCGGTTAACTTTCTGATTTTTAAGATTCTTCCATAGGTCTAGTTCACATCCAAGAAGCTTTTGGGTAACAATGAGTTAAGAGGGTTCAAATTTGATGATGTGTCCTGGGTATGAATCATGTTTGTCTTGCTTTTGTCCCAAAATTTTAATTTCCAGTTTTATGACACAAATTTGTGAAATTCATTTTGAACAGCTCAAAAGAATTGAGTTATGATGCCCATTTACTAGGCACATACAATGAGCCCAGTTTACGTGCACTTTCTCTTTTCCATTAGTCATCATTGCCTTTAGAAAAAGTTGATTCTGCTAACAGGATCTTTGGAGGGACACAGCCTCACAAAGGTAGCAGTGGGTGAGAGACATGGCTAACTATTTTGTGTGTCGGGTCATTACGGAAAAAAATATTTCTGTAAAAATTCTCACCCTGTCAAGTGGGACTCATACAATTTGAGAGTTCTATATTGTGTACCCAGCTCTTAAATTGTTCTCAGCTTCAGCTGGCTGCTGTACCCTAGAAAATAGCTGTGCGAGAAGCAGAAACAGTTCTGGCCTAGGGTAGGGCCAGAGGAATTGGATGTTCAAGATCAACTTTGCTTATTTTGCTTAGGGCTAGGCCTGACTGTTCCAACCATCTTCATGAGACAGGAAATGATGGAACCCTTTCGGTCTTTCTTAGATCTGACTGAGCAGACTGGGAAAGGAATATTTTCTGTCCTCAGGCAAATCCAGGGGTCCTGAGGCCATACTAGTTGGGATGAGTGCCTATACCTATTTCTGGTCGTCACTTCCTCTACTCCTTCCTCAATTTCTGCAGCCATCCCAGAGCTTCCCCTAAGGGCCCTCTGATCTGCTCTGTTTTTTTATTTTCTTTCTCTCCAGGTGTGAATCAGTTTCTGGGCCTTGTTTCTGAGTTTGAAGAGATGTTACCAAAAGTGGAGAGCTGGAATGTGGGGGGAAATAAAAGGCTTTTCATGCCCAATGTTGCCCAGGGTGTTTATTGGGGATTGGATTGAGAATTTTAGGGTAGACGGCTGGGGAGGTTTGGAGGGCTTCCTTGCTGACTCTTAAGTCTGAGATAGAGGTTGGCATAGGGCATGGGTTA